TAGTAAGGGCAGGAGCCCCTAGTAGCTTCTTGTTCCTAGTAGTAAGGGCAGGAGCCCCTAGTAGCTTCTTGTTCCTAGTAGTAAGGCCAGGAGCCCCTAGTAGCTTCTTGTTCCTAGTAGTAAGGCCAGGAGCCCCTAGTAGCTTCTTGTTCCTAGTAAGGCCAGGAGCCCCTAGTAGCTTCTTGTTCCTAGTTGTAAGGCCAGGAGCCGCTAGTAGCTTCTTGTTCCTAGTATTAAGGCCAGGAGCCCCTAGTAGCTTCTTGTTCCTACTAGTAGCTTCCGGGCCAGAGGCAGCTTCTGCAGACGCTGGTGACGGACGGAATCGCCTCGACCTCCGAGCCTGGGCAGCTTCTGTGTGTTCCGAGCCGTGCGGCGTGCTGCGTGCGGCGTGCGGGGTTCAGACGTCAACGCGGTGATAGCACCGATGTTGATAGGTCTTGGCAGTTCTGGGGCATGTTTGTTCAGAAGTTGCAAGAAAAGAACAAGAGATCACCAGGTTACAGTCCATGTTTTTCTCCTTTCATGGTAGACACCTGGTATGACGGTAACTGGTCTCCCTTGGTTTGGATGAGCAAACCAGCCTGGAGGGGGTGCGTTTGGAGGGTGTGAACATTTCAACGTCAGCCTTGAGAATTGAATACCCACTGACGAAACAGATAATCTTGAGCTCAACAAAAGGAACTATTTCTGATTGACTCGACGTCAAGATGGCCATACTAGGAACAATAACAAGGACGCCACTAGGGGTTCCTGGCCATGCTACTAGGAGCACGGACGCTACTACGGGTTCCTGGCATCGCTACTAGGAGCATTCTTGCTACTAGTAACAAGAAACTACTAGGTTGAAAGAAATGATCGGGATTCTGTGTCCCCAATGATTCTGTGGCCCTGGCCCCCACGTGCTGTGCTCGCTGAGGACAGCGTGGTGCGGGCCTTTGCGTGCGTTGGAGCAGGAGCGTGTTTTGTAATGTTCTTTTTGGAAGAGACGGCGGACAAAATACCTATTTATCGATCTGTGAAGTTCAACATCCCACTTCTTGTGCGGCAACAGCGACAGTTATGGGACCCCACGTTTTGAGAGAGGTTTGAGGTCTTTTTGGCATTGAAGACTCCGGAGTATTTGTTTGGCACCATCTTTGGATCAATGGCCTCCAACCTACTAGCGATGGCCCTCAACCTACTAGCGGCCTCCAACCTACTAGCGATGAACAAATGTTGTCCAAGCCAGTGACCAAGCCTCCTATCCGGAGCTTTCCACCATTCGGCCAAGTCGATCCGAGGTGGTGCGCGCACGGATGGATGGTTCTGCTCCGCTGGAACCACCTCGAGATGTCTCCTTCTGGGATCAGCAGGGGCCCCGAAGCTTCTTTGATTGGGTGGGAGGGTGGAGAAGGTGGCAGCATGATGCATCATCCATCAAATTCTCGATTTTGTGCCGCAAGAGCGGTTAGGACTTTGCAGGTTTGTCCAATTTTCAGTCTTTCGCGTCGAAGAGTGCTCTGTATTCGAACACCTGTTAAACCATCATCCAACATAGCCCTCAATCCCAATACTACACGAGGCCTTTGCAGGGAATGGATTCGAGACATGTCCGACATTCTCCGACTCTTTGAAGATATCACCAGACTGGTCGACGGTCGATCCCCACCATTGTCCGACTACTTGCGCCTGTCGACATCGATGGGATCAGATCGTCTGGCGACTGAGTCTGACGCGGCATCCGCCAGGATCGAAGGCGTCTATGCACGTAAGGAGGATGGCAAGTTCATGGCACGGAGCCTCAAAGCACTGAGCCTAGTAACAAGAAACTACTAGTAACAAGTGCATCGCTACTAGTAACAAGTGCATCGCTACTAGTAACAAGTGCATCGCTACTAGTAGCAAGAAGCTACGAACGGGGCGCTCCTGGCCTTACTACTAGGAGCGTTCGGAGGCGAACCGAACGTAGCGATGGCCTCCTTTTTACGAACGTACCTTCCTGTTCGTTCCATGGAGTTCTGAATTCACCAGGAATTGGCACGCGTTTGAGTGGTTTCTCTTTGTTTCAGGCCTTTCTATAGGGTGAGCTTTGAGCCAAGAACACTTGTTTTTCAACAACTAGTAGCGATGCCGATGCTCTTGCTCCTAGTAGCTTCTTGCTCCTAGTAGTATGGCCAGGAGCCCGTAGTAGCGTCCTTGCTCCGTTCCTAGCGATCCCAGGAGCCCCTAGTAGCGTCCTGAACACACGTCACGCATGGACGCCGCGAGGCTCGCTTGCAGTCGAATCTCCTCGCCTGGGCGCCGGACTTCAAATCCGACCCCTCCGAGCTTTCAGTGTCCGGCCCAAAGCAGGTGAGGTGGAGAGCACCGTGCTGTGGGCGCGAAGAAGAGAGATGTGGAGACCACCACGATCATCGAGCTGTTTTCGTGTGGGTGAGTGGTGGAATACCGAAGATGTGGATCCATGAAGCTGAGTACAGTGGTTTTAGAGTAGATGGCACAATCCCCAAAAGATGTTATAAGATATATGAAGTATAAGCTAACGGAGTCTGTGGGTATTGCAGTCTACGGAGGATCGTTTTGGGCAACGGTAGTCCTTCAGTCCTCCAGCCGCAGTGGTGGAACAGAGAATCGGAGGTCGACATCTCTCAGCCTGGGGGAGGGAGCCGGGCTGGGCGATCCAAAGCTAGTAGGTTGCCTTGTTACTTAGTACGTAGTGATCGATGGCCTCCACCCTACTAGCGATGGCTTCCCACCTACTAGCTTCTTGTTGCAAAAAGAACATTATGTTTCTATTCAGCCACAAACATGGGACTTGGGAGCTGGTGAAAAAAGGACGTCCTACTGCATGCGTGGTATGTCATATGTCAAATGGGGTGAATCAAGTCTTCTTGGTTCATTGCCCATGCCTAGGACCCATGTACACCCCTTTTGATCAGAACGAGCAATCTTTACATCCTAAAGAGTAATGATTGTTTGTCCCCCAAAAGAGGTTATATGCTATTCAACTAACTGGTTTTGCAGCACTCCGTTGATTTGTTGACTCTCCCTTCGCTCCTTGCCATGCAGATCTCCATGAGCATCGGGGGGAAGC